TCAGGTTCTTGTTATGAGCTGAAATGATCTGCTGGTGAAACACACCGTCCTGTCCTCTGATGATCAACTCTGCTGTGACTCAAAGCTGCTGATGACTCTGACAGAGCAGGAAACAGAGAGACGTCTCACTTTAGAATCAGGAGGATGGACTCAGACAAACTAACATCAAACTCCACATTCTCAGTTAAATTTATATATTTATCTGTTAAAATCATCAACCAAAGATTTCCTCATCAGTTTATAAGATCCTTCAAGTGTCTGTGGTTTTGTTTGGACGTTTCCAGTTTGTGTCCCGTGGACCAAGTGAGTTAGAGACACGTAAGAGAGACTTAATTCGACCTGAAAAACTCTGAAAATTAACTCCGCCCCGTCGTCGTCGTGTCCTCTTTTTTTTGGGATTCAGAATCTGGTCACTCTCGTCTTTGTTGAAGTTTCTTTCATCGCTCGGCTCTCTGTCCACGTTTTCCTGCTATTTAACTCTGAATCTAGTCAGACTGGACTGTCTCTGTTCAGGACCGGTTCAGGGTTCAGTATCTTGCTCAGTGACCACAGCAGCTGAGGCTAAACCTCTAAAACTCTGAGAAGTCTCCCTCTGACAGACGTTCCTGCAGATTTACCTCCTCCTAAACCTCAGCTGATGGTTTTATCTTCATCTCTGCTGTTAGTCACACAAACCTGCAGCACTGAGGTGTTATTCTGTTTCTGAGACGTGTGAAAGACGAACACACTCTTCAGCTGCAGAGTTATCAGGTTCGAGGACATGTTGGAGCTTCACATGAACAAAATAATCCTGTCATAGAGTTTATCTGCAGAGACGAGGAGGAGGAGGAGGAGGAGGAGGAGGAGGAGGAGGAGGAGGAAGGATATCTGCTGTTTCTGTGTCTGTATCTCCTCCTTATCGAACCCGTTTGTACAGAACCTCCTCGTTCATGAACTTCATCCAGTCCTGATAATCAGTGTGGAGTTAGGAGTGGATTCAGTCCAACGTGGTTTGATAAACGTGTGTGTGTGTGTGTGTGTGTGTGTGTGTGTGTCTGTCAGCCTCAGGCTTGTACATTTTGTGGTTGAGACCTCAGACGGCCAAAATCTTCCATCCTGTTATTTGATTAAGTGTCTCTGAGAACATCTCACACTCTCCTCGTTCTCACGGCTCGTCTCTCCGAACATAAAAAAATAAAATAATCACATCGTTGTTTTTTTTCTGTAACAAATCTCGTCTCTACAAACTGCTGATGAAATATTAAAAGGTTTTAGCGTCCGACACGAGTCCAGAAAAGCTTTCTGTCCCCGTCATCCATCATGTTAAAGCAGCAGCAGCTCCGCCTCTGTGTACTCGGCTCAAACTTGTCCCGATCAATACTTTGCAGATGACTGAACGATCTGGGTTTGTGTCTCTGCGTCGGTCTCCTCCCCCTCGCCGCTCTGATGGATGTCACATATACAGTTCTTCTGTTGTTCTGAGCTGAGCGACTCGTACAGACCCGCATCCATCTTCTCTGATTCGCAGCCCGCTCCATCATCCCGTCGTCTCGGCGAGGAAAAGGCCGGCCAGAGCCGACTCGTTCTCTCACTGAGGATCAATAAATTACGGCCCACGTCCGACTCATTTGCATCGAATCCACTCAGCTGCTGAAGTCCCCGTCTTCAGAGTCGGGCCTCACATACAGCTCGCTCTGTCTTCTGCTGATGAACTTCACCCACAACGTCCAGAACAAAACGCCACAGTCCAGCCGGACTCATGTGTCCACGGGTCATTTATCAGGGACAGACAGGATCAGAGAGTTTTTAAACTGGGAGGAAGAGGGGGACGGGTTCAAGAACTTGGAGGAGCAGACAAGTCCAGGAAGTGGACTACAAGTGTCAGGATCCTGCTGTCAGGACCCTCCTGAGGTCGGAGAGTCCTTGAATCTACAAACAGGAAAGCACAGCCGAGCGTCGAGTCGTTCTTGTTATCGTCTTAAAGCAGCGAGGACGATTCTGAGGGGGAAAAAGACGAACATCGAAACACAATAAATCTTCTACTGATGGTCGTGTGGGAGAGAAAACCGCCCGACTAACTGGTTATTAACTCTTAAAGAAACAGACATGATGGCGTTTCAGGACCCGGACAGAACCAAAGTGACCTTAGGAGGGACGTGGACCTGGATCTGTCTGTGTGAACTGAAGCCGCTCTCTGAGGGTCAGTCCGTTTCCATGACACTCGAGAAAAAACGAATTATCGCCTTATTCCGATTTAGACCGGACAGCTGAAGGTCATGTAAACATCTTAGTCCGACTTTAATCAGAGTTTGAAAACTTGTTGTTTTTATTAAACGAGGGTCTAAATGTAGTCCCATCTCTTAAAGAGTTCCTGCTCTGAGGTCTGAGGACTTTCCTACGGCGCAGGAACTTTGGGAGGCGGAGCCTAATGAAACGAGCTAAATCCAGTTTGACTGATCAGTCGTGTATCGTCAAACCGTGTCCACCACACATGTTTGAGTTCAGCGCTGACAGACTCAGGTCGTTATTACAAGTCCAGAGAACGGCGAGGGTTCTGACCTTCTGACCTTTTTCCCTGACCTTATGATCTTAGACCGATTAAACTGTGAATGTAAACGACTGAGTGAAAACTGATCAGAGTATTGAACTGGATCAATCAGGACTGATTGATTAATTAAACACTGAGTCCCTCGTTCTTCCACACCTTCTCTCTGAAACTGTCTCTTCGTTCGGCTGAACTTCACGTTTCTGTTATTGAGATTCTTGTCTGAGTGACCTCTGACCTCTGACCTCTGACCTCTGGACGGTCCTGACTCTTCTTCTCTGGTGGTTTAAAGAACCGTGTTTGTGTTTGTTTGTGTTTTAAATAAAGTTTGTCTCTGATCCACTCCTCTGTCAGCGTTAAACTGAAGGTGCAGATTTTAATCTAACCCAGATTAAAATCGATGATCCAGCAGAATTTCCACGCCGTCCTCTCAGACTCTGATCTGATCCTCCACCTGAAGGACCATGAAGCTGTCCTGGTCTCTTCAGTCCAGATCATTAGACCATCATCAGATCCTGACCCCATAAATCTGCGTTAGTCTGTGGACTGTTCCTGACCCGTCCATTAGGAGACGTAAACGAACACGATGCTCTGAATGCCTCTGCACTCCTAACACGATTTCCCTCCGTTTGATAAAAGTGCTCCTTCTGTCTCTGAGACCCTCCCCCTCCTCTCTCCTCTCTCCTCTCTCCTCTCTCCCTGTCCTCTGTCTCACCCTCGTCCTAAAGGTCGATGTTTATTATGTTAAAGTTCAGGGTATCGAGTGTCTCGTGTTCTTCCTCTCCCTCTATGGGAAGTCCTTCAGTCCTTCTAAAGTCCATGTTGGACCAGCAAAACTCCGAAAAGCCACCGAGAAAAATCAGTTTGTTTTTGTCTGATAAAGTTTCAAGAGAAGAAAAAAAAAGAGAGAAGAAAAAAACGCAGTGAAGTCTGAGAGTCCGTCGGCGAGTGGAGGTGGAGCAGAAATACAGAGACATGAAAACAGACGATCAGAAAAACTAGATCAGAAACTTCACCGTCACGGTTTCATTAACGTCCTCCTGTGTCAGAGTCAGAGCACCGACACGTTTTCGTCTTTAGATGCATAAAAGAAGAACTTACATTCGCTTTTTTCACATCAAGACTTTTGGACTTTATCTGGAACCTTTAATTCAACTAAATAAAATAAAAAATTAAAGTGACTCAATTATAAAATGCTTGTGTAAAGGTCCTCAAACACCCGGACCGACGCAAAATTACGAAATATTCAGAGGTGAATTTTGACGCGCCTGACTATACAAATCAAGCGTGATGCGATTTTGTGACTTTCCGGGGGGAAAAAAGACGCGTCCCGGGTCTTCAGTGAGAAGACTGATCCAACAGCAGACTGAGTGTTTCTCAGTTCTGATCAGACTCTGGTGTTGAGATGTCTGTCTGTCATGATAGCATGGACTGAGTCAGGGCCAGTACCAGATAAACACATTAAACTATAATCCATAAACGCAAGATAACAACCGAGACCTGATGGTGCTGTGACAGAAAATATGGTATGTTGTATCTGAACAGGTTAGCTTACGAGCTAAAGTTACTAAAGTTCAAACAAAGACGTTAATCAAACTGTTAAAGAACACAAACCATCGTCAGATGAGAAATCCATCTTTATCTTTGTAATGTTTGTGTCTTTTATCAAAAATCACTCTGTTCTCCGACACGTAAACAATCAGCCGGTCGGCCATGTTGGATATACCGGTGAATCTGACGTCGCAACAACACGAAACCTGATTGGTCAGAAGTGGACACACAGAATGAGAAACTTTAGAAAAATCGACCGTGATCCGAAAAAATAAATGCTGCAATTTCAGAGGACGGGAAAACGTCGCTGATGTGAACGCTTGAATTGACAGGATACGGGTTCGAAGAAATATTGACGTCTGAAATAATCGCACGACAAAAATGGTCCCAGTTTGAAAAGACCTTTAGGGTCCCTGCTGACCTGGTTTGATTAGATCCTCCTCCAATCATGTCAGATTTAAATTCTCATTTTTCATGTTTTTCCATAAAAAACAGCGTCAGTCGTGTTCAGACAGATCAGTTCAGATGTCTGTGTGAGACAGAGGACCACGACAAAAACTATTATCATCAATATTTATAATCAATATTTTCATGGATAATAAAGCTGGATAAATTAACCCAAAGATGAGAATTAAACTGGATGATAGAGAACTGTTTTTAATTTACAGCTGATTTAAGACTCGGGTCAGAACCGACCCGTTAACATGGTGGGTGTGAAGTAGAAGCTACAACAGGAGGAAGGTTAAAAAGACAGAAAAGAAAAAGAGATCTAGGAGGTTTTCTGTCTACGTCTGAAGGATCATGGGTAAAACAGACAGAACTTTATCCTGACCGACCACCTTTGGACTCTCCAGAACCTCCAGATCCGATCAGTCCAGAACTTCAACACTTTGACGTTTTTTAACACTAACACGGTCGTCCTGCCTCAAACGTGTTCAACCTCCTGTCGACCTTTGACCTCCATGTTTGGGTTAACATGAAGGTTTGCGGCCCCTCGTCCACACGAGCGGCGAGGTGTTGACAGAAAACAGGACATCGTGACCACGACGTAAACACGCCCTGACCTCCCTGTTCGTTTGATAAACACCAGAATCCTTCGCCGTGGCTGCGACCTCGCTGTTTCGTCTCCTTCGACCTCCGGAGGAAAAACACCTTCACAGCCGCGCCGTACATCATCACTGTTTTTATAACACGCCGCCTGTTTATAACCGACCTCTCTACACCGACCAGAACCTCGCATTCTTCTCCAACCGTGTTTGATTATAGATGTGAGTGAGGAGGGACCGAAGTTTGACCCTCAGATCTAAAAACAGCTTCTATAGACGGTCAGAGAGTCCAGAGTCTTTACTGTCGGACTTTAGATTCATGATTTCATCCACTTTAATCTGAATATCCTGAAATCAAATCTGGACTCAGAGGGTGGATTTGGTTTCATTAAAATAAGATTTTATTTTTCTAAAATTGGACAAAAACAATTAAAGATTTACAGTCAGTGGACACAGGCCCTTAATGTTCGCTCATATCAGAGTCTGCGATAATAAAGGTGGGGGAGACAGGACTCTGTTAAAGAAGCATCTTTTTATTTTGTGGTGTAGAAACAAAAAATCTTTTAATATCAGTCAATAGTTATTAGTTATTGATGACATTTGGTAATATAACAATATATGTCTGAATCCTCCTTTGGCCACGACTGCCGACACAAGCAAGAAAACAAAGTAAATACCGGAGACTCTGGAGGAACAACGGGCGCTTAAAACGGAGGTAGACCGGACAAGAGCTAAAAAGACGGGTCAACATAAACGATGGGGGACGCTTGGGGATCTTGGTGACCCTGTAACCTTTCTGCTGGACAGGTAAACCGCTTTAACAAAGTAAGACAAGTGTCTGTAACAGAAGTGTTTCTTGTCAAATATAGACGTGAATCACACCAGAATCACGATAAGACTAAACTTCTGAATGTGAGCCCCAGAGTTCGGTTCTGAGACCTCTGCTGGTTTCAGTCCGTATCGTCTGTATCAGTGAGAACCTTCCTGATCTAAGACCACATCTGTACGCAGACGATGGTGTTATTTACTGATCCGCTCCAGTTTCAGGGTAACTCCATTTTAAATCCTGACAGAGTAAAACTCTTGGATATCAACAAACTCAAAGACAAAGCTGCTGATCTCACCGTCTGTTTCCACGTCTCAGGATGACTAATCGAGTCTGGATCGTCTTATAAATAAAGTTTTTAATTTTCTGTTTTAAAGTTAAAGTTTTGTCCAGATTTCAGTTTCTTTCCTTCACTGACTCTGTTTTTTTTAACATATTAACACTTCATCTCAAAGTCTTCACTCTCATCACGGAGCTCTGAGGTTCACTCATAACCGTTTAGAGTCGCTGCTCTGCTTTCTCTTCACTTTGAGGTGAATCAGGACAGATCTGAAGGAGACGGCCGCAGGTTTGGAAACAAACAGAAACTGAACCGTTCGGACTGAAGTCAAAACGAGGGTCCCTCTATTTTCACTCACTGATTCTAACAAAATGAATATTTGACCCAAAACACTGAAGGAAGATGGAGGTCAAAGGTCAGGAAGGACATCAGACTGAAGAGTCTGCGTTAAAAAAACATTCAACAGAAAAAAACAGGAGAGTCGACTGAAGGAGTCGATCCTCGGACTGATCAGGAGGTTCAGGTCCTTTTATAAACTCAAACAGCTGATTGAAGGTGCTCCTGTATCAATCAATCAATCAAACTTTATTTATAATGGATTTAGAATCAATTTTAAAGTTGTTTTATTGGTTTTTAAAGCTCTAAACAGTCTTAAAATCAAACAATAAAAGAAAGTAAATTAAAAAGAGGTAAAAAAACAGAAAACAGAAACTTAAAGAGATTAAAATCGAATTTAACTCAAACCAGACTAAAAATGTTGGTCTTTAGTTTACTTTTAAAAATATGACCAGTAGGTGTCGCTCTCAGCTCTGCAGGTAGGCTGTTCCAGAGATGGAGGCCGTAATGTAAGAATAACGATTCACTGAGGCTGTGTCTCATTTCAGAGACCGCAACCGTCGAACGGCCCATCTGAAGCGTGCGTGAGGTCATCACGCGGCACGAACGGTGTCCCTTATGGCACAAAATACTAAGCGCGCTTCAAATTCGGTCTCAAAACCACACTACCCCCCGGCCCTTTTTCAAGCGTGCATGTATGCACGCTTTCGTGCCGTCGGTATCCCCGCTGCACAGCTTCGCATTTCGGGTGAGAGGCTGGACTCGCCTGGAGACGCAGCGCGTCTTCAAAGAAAATACAAGAAATCCAAAAGCAGCAGACAGTCAGCTCAGGCTGTATGAGAGCATGATCTCTGAACTCACTAAAATCTGTAAACCAAACATTATAGATTTAGAGACTTTTAGTATTTCTTGTATTTTCTTTGAAGACGCGCCACTGAAGAAGCCCCGCCTCCTCCTCAGACAGACTTCAATCACAGATCTGTTGTTTCTCAAACTTTAATTCTTGGTCAAAATCAACATGAAAAAAAACAAACAAGTGAAAACTAAGGTGTTATCCGGACAATAGAGACGGTAAATCTTCCTTCTTCTCATTTTTTCATCCTTTTAACTCACTTTAAAACAAGTTTAAGATATTTTTTATCATTAAGGGTGTTTTTTATTTATCAGTCAAGGCATCGATTCCAGTTTTAACTAGAAAAATTGCATTTCCTTGCAGAAAATGCGTGGAAATGCTGAGTGCTGAAAGCTGAAAAAGCAATGCAAAACTGCCAATAAAAAATGGAGGAAGGTATAAACGGAAAAACTGTAGAAAAGGTGGAGTAGAAGAAGAAGAAATTGTATGAATGGAAGAATTGTAGTATAGCTGGAGGTAAATTAGTTGGATTAATGTACAAATTGTCTGATAGCCTAAGTGAAAAATGTATATGATTGATGTGAATAAACAGAACTGATATGGATAATTGAATTTGAAAAACAAATGCCTTTAAACAATGTGTAACAATGTTCCTATTAAATGTACAAATAGTAAAACAGATTTTTGCAGTCTGCAGCATCCAACCATAGTAACTTGAGAATGCAGAACAGCACCATCTATTGCCCTGCTTCAGTTACTGCCCTACATCTGAATGTAGAAAGTATGAAACAGCTGAAGTTAAATTAATTGTATAAATGTAGAAAGTATAGAAAAGAAAAGCAGAAGTAGAAGAAAAAGAAGAAGTTAGTATGTTAAAAGAGTTAAAGACAAGAACTGTAACAACAAAGTTCATATTGGGGCTGTATTTTCTACTGACAGAGAGACAGTAATGCACACATGGAAACAGTGTGTGTGTGTGTGTGTGTGTGTGTGTGTGTGTCCGCGCGCGCGCGCGGCCGAGCCCGTGCGTGTGCATATGCGTGTGTGATCGAAGCACACAGCCCATGACAAGTGCAGAATCTGACAGAGACAGTAAGAGAGAAAGAGACACAGTAATGCACTCATGGAAACAGTGTGTGTGTGTATGTGTGTGTGCCCGCGCGCGCACGAGCGGCCAAGTCCGTGCGTGTGCGATCGAAGCACACAGCCCATGACAAGTGCAGAATCTGACAGAGAGATAGTAAGAGAGACAGTATTGCACTCATGGAAACAGTGTGTGTGTGTGTGTGTGTGTGTGTGTGTGTGTGTGTGTGTGTGTGTGCCCGCGCGCGCACGAGCGGCCGAGTCCGTGCGTGTGCATGTGCGTGTGCGATCGAAGCACACAGCCCATGACAAGTGCAGAATCTCTGGCTCTGAAGGAATGTACTCACCTCCTGGGCAAGCTGTACAATTTCATGATTTCAGACCGATTTTGTGAGAAGCAGGACGAGTGTACCTCCATTTTGATGTGTTTTTTATGGCTGTGGAGTGAAAATTGCGGCCGCAGCAGCAAAATAATCATGCTTGGTCTAGTGAATCCAAAAGGCCCCGCCCGCATCTAGTGATGACGTCAGACGCTGTAGCGTGAGTCAGGCTGAAAAAGGCAGAAGACTTCATGTTGCTCCAAGCGAAATTGTGCAAAAACGGTAGGAAATAGCAAAAAGGAGTGAATACAACATTTGTAGCAGACACGTTGCTGAACATTTTAAAGCAAAAATGAGGTCTGTAGGTGAAAGTATGCAGAAGTTATAAGGGTGAGAAGGTGTTATAGCTGTATCTCCATTCATTTGTAATGGAACAAATTTTGCAGAAAAAGTGAAATATTGCAAAAAGTATAAATGGTAGAAAGGTGAAAAGTAATAGCAATAATGTCCTGAAGGAGTGCATTAGTATAAAGTTTGAATGGTTAAAATAGCACAAAGTGGTAAGGAGTTGAAAAGGGCCAAAAAAGGTACGGAAGAATAATAATAAGAAAAAAAATAATAATAATAACTAGAAAAATTGCATTTCCTTGCAGAAAATGCGTGGAAATGCTGAGTGCTGAAAGCTGAAAAAGCAATGCTAAACTGCTAATAAAACATGGAGAAAGGTATAAATGTTAAAGCTGTTGAAGGGGTGAGAAAGAAATGTAAGTTGGATAATTGATTAATTGGTTGAAGGACAAATAGTATGAATATGCTCTATAAAAGGAAATTCTATTCATGCTGAAAGAGGCTAGAAAAATGTCTAAAATTGCACAAAGTTTGAATGAAGAAGGAAATTGCCTTAAAAGGCAGAAAGGTGAGAAGTGGCATAAGTTTAAGTTGTAGTACTAGAAGTAGTATAAGAGGTCAAGTCGTGATACTAGTAGTCACGTCAGCAGTAGAAGTAGTTTGAGAGTAAAAGAAGTATAAGTCAAAGTAGTAAAGAAAGTAGAAATAGTAGCAATAGCAGCAGTAGAGAAAGTAGAAATAGGAGCAATAGCAGCAGTAGAGAAAGTAGAAATAGGAGCAATAGCAGTGGAAGTAGAGGGGAAAGTACTAGTTTAATTGACATTAGCAGTAGTTGTAATACTTGAGGTAGGATTTTGTTTGAAGGATGGAATAATGCATAAATATTAAAATTAATTTAAAAAGGGGAAAATTTAAATAATTAAAAGTCCTCAAGTATCAGAAAGTTTTAAAGTATTAGAAAGGTTTGAATGAGTTTAAATTAGTTTGAAAAAAAATTAAATGATAAATCATCACTGAGTGACTTTAAAATGTGAAAAATGTAAATGAATATAAATCCTAAATACACCCCATAATGTCTTCAATGAGCATAAATTTTAAAGCCCTGAATGGTTTCTGTAGGTCAAAGGTCATGTGAGGAGATCGGAGCT